AATGAACAATCCTCAGTATTATTTCATCACGAAATTGCCCTGTCACCTTGAGCAGGTTCGTTCTTTAACTGTCTGCTTCTTAATCATTTACCGTCTGTTAGATGGGAAAACTTCCTCCATGGTTTTATAAAGATTAGATAATAACTATAAAGTCATTTCTGGAAAAAGAAAGGTCTTGGTAGAGGTGTAGCAGGGATAGATAATAGTTTATTATTAACTGACAAAATGGAACCCAACCATCCCAGTTATGGCAAACGGTAATGGCTAAGATGTCCAGAGCATGAACATGGAGCATAATGGTGTGAATCAGTGAAAATTAGGATAAGCAAAGGAACTGTCCCAAACAACACTGACCTCGAGATGGCTCCTAATTAAATCTGATTCATGAGTCCTGTCAGTCACAAAGTGAAAAAAGGAAAAAAAATTGAAAATGTGTCTTTCATGTACAAACACTTAAACTTCTTTGGGAAACAGATTAATTGAGTGTACTTGTGGGAAAAGGGAAGGTTTAAGAAGAATTATTCTTCCTACTTCTAGCCAGTATTTCCAAGACCTATCCACAGCCAGGGAGGAGGCGTTGAGAACAATACACAGTGGGGATACTATACTTTAGATCTGGAAAATTCGCCTCTGTACTAGGTAGGTCTGCCACATAATTTTCCAGTAGCAGCCCTTTGAAAGAAGGGTAGCTCCCTTGCAGGAGATGAGGTCATTGAATCAGAAACAAACTGGGGACATCTGACCTGCGAGTGAACCTAGATTAGGGAGTGACACTATAGATTAGATCACCTCACTGAGAGCCAACCAGGAAGTCTCCATCGGAAAAATGAAGATATCATATTCTTATAGGGCCAGTATATTAGTTGGCTTTTATATTTATTTTAAGAGAATCCCAACAAAAACATGATCATATCCCAAGCCAGAATCCTGGGAAGGTTGGTAGATACAGGTGTGTGTTGTAGGTGTGTTTTATAAAATTTCCATGTGATTATGTTTTTATTTTAAGATACTGGTTCTCTTCCTCATTAAAGGAACACTGTTTGAATTCTTTTGGCAAGGAGAGAATTACCAATCAATTGACACTTTTAGGTATAGTATTTGCTTAAGGTGTGATATATGCTACTGGTAGTAAGAAACTTTCTATATGAACAAAATAAATACTTACATGGTCTCCTACTATATGTAAGGCATTGTGTTTGTGAAATATAAAAATACAGATAGAACATCACTTCTCATTGAGCTCATGATTTAACATGGAAGAGAGTCTCTGCATAATGAATTGTATGACACATGGCATATTGGGCATGGTGGTATGTGCTTCTAATCCCAGTGACTAAGGAGGCTGAGGCAGGAGGATTGCAAGTTTGAGTGGAGCCTCCGAAACTTAGAGAGACCCTTAGCAACTTAAGAAAACCCTGTCTCAAAAAGTAAAAATGAGGGGAGATGTGGCTTAGTGGTAAAGTACCTCTGGGTTCAACCCTCAGACCCCCCAAATATATATGTGTGTATGTATATATGTGTGTGTGTGTGTGTGTGTATATATATATATATATATATATATATACATATACATATATACATATGTGTATACATATATAAATATACTGTTCTAAGTACATGTGTGTATGTATGTGTGTGTGTGTATATATATATATATTATATACATATAATCAGGAAAAGAAGGCTAATTGCATAAAATTGAGGAATATTTCACAAAGCAGGTGAAATCTAAGGTGGACCTTAAGGAATGAGTAGGGTTTTTAACCAGTGGAAGAAGAAGTAAGGGTCTCCAAGGCAAAGCAAGAAACTGTATCAGCCAAGTCAGAAGACCTGCAAGTCCACCATGTGTTCTATACTGGAGGAATCTCGCTGGATTGTAAGGCTGTCTAGTGGAAGTTGGGGGTGTGCCCATCTTGATGAGGTGTTGCTACTTCCCTCTTTTACATAAATAATGGAGCGTCATTATGTTTGTGTTTTAAAAAAATTAAATGGTAGTGTGATGAATGAATTACAAAGTAGAAAGTTTGTGAACAGAGTAAATGAAGTATTTATTAGGTTAATTAGATAATGTACAAGAAAACACCAAGTACATTTATAAACAAACAAGGAAGCACAAATTGCTATAATTGTTACAGTCCAGGGGAAAAAAATGATGCACACCTGAACTATAAAGAGCATTAAGAAACAGAAAATATTCAAAAGATATTTTGGAGGTAATGAGGATAGTAATAAAATCGAACATTTGTTGAGTGACTGTTATGTTCTGGGCATTGTTCTAACTACATTGAACATAGTACTTTACTTAATCCTTACAGTCCTTTAAGGAAGATAAACCATTTTAAAGATCTAGAAACCGAGCAAAGACATGATGTAGCTTGTTCAGATCTCACAACTGATGAGTGGTACAGTGTGTAGATAAATTCAGGCAGCCTGCTTAGACATACTCTCAGGTATAACTGCACAAGGAGACAATGGATTTTATATAGCAGTTGGGAGATCAGAGGAATAAAATACAATCTATAGGCACAGTTCTAAAAAAAATCTCTTTTCTGAACACTTGTTTTTCAGAATGTTAACAGATGTTATGTAAGAAATAGATCTAATATCAAACAAAATACTGGGATAAACAAAATAAACAAGTTTTTGTCTGCAGGAAGCCTAAAAGCCTTTAGAAGTTTAATTTTCAACACAAATCCCCCAAGAAAGTGTTATAGAGTATGTTAAATTGCGCAGACTCAGTTGACCATAAATCTCTTTAATAATTTAGTCTTTTTTGGCGGGGGGTCAGCATTCCTAGAACATAATCTGGAAATTTCTCTTGTAGACATCCCACTTTGGGCCATGATGTGGTTAAATTGGTAAATTTGGACTGGGCATCTTGTATGTCAAGTGCCTGACAAGAAAATGCATAATAGAAAGATGTGCATTTGAGTCTTGAGAGATGGGTCAGAATTGGAGGTGCAGATGTACATGTTCTTCCTGTTTGAGACAATAAAAACTTGACCTTAGTGTCCATGGTTGAGCTTGCTGTGGGGAAGAGGAAAAGAGAGGAAGACCAAGGAGCACATTTTGGATGTTGCTTATATGCAGTGTCAGTTTGTACAGGATTCAGCTGGTGTTTAGTTAGTGTTCAAATTTGATAATATTTTGTTAAATGTTTCTAATGGAGATTGGCTAAATTTCAGCCTATCCATATGTAAAATTTAAATCATAGATATTCTTCGCATAGCTATATTTCTCCAGCAGCTGACCATGGAGAAGTATGAATTTCTTAGTTCATAAAAATGTTGGCCTGGTTGATTTGGGGAGAAATGGTCTTTCATATGAATGTGGCATAACCTGATCTTAGAGTTGCAATGAGGTAGACCCATGGTTAATGTTCCAAATGTCACTTGTCCCCATGACTGCCTTACATAAATTTAATGAAATACCATTATTTCTTAAAAGTGAATAAATCTTAAATTTTAAACAAGAGGTCTCCTATTAATTTAATCCATGGCAACAGAGATTTTCTCAAACCAAATAGTTCCAGGAGGATCTATTTTAGCTGCAACATCTGTGAACCATTCTAAAGGCTTGCAATAAAAAAAAATAAAATCATATAATATCCCACCAGAAACAACAAAAGCCAAATTGGATTCCTCCCTGGAAAATGAACTTCAAATTATGTTTTAAAACCTACAGACTTTTAAGGGGAGAGGTAAAAAAAAATATCCTATTTAAATCATTTAAAAACAAGTAGTGTTAGGAAAATATCCTATTGAGTCCTAGATAGTGTTGAGGATATATTTCCAATGTTAAGGTCAATGTTAACCTAAAAAGAGATAGGATGAAGGGGAGTGAAGTAGTTGAGCTAGCTTTTGTTTCTTTCTCAACATTCTCCCAGTCTCCATGCAGTTCATTTTATATGCCTCACATTCCTTTGCTAGATGAACGTACCTAAAGCATAGCTCTTCATCCTCTGATTGAAAAATCTGAATTTTTCTCCACTACTAGACATCAGTGTCCTGCAGGTCCAGGCCTTGTGAAGCTTTCCCATCCCATCTATTGCCGTACATCTTGCTTAGAAGATTCCAGCCAACTCTACTGCTTGTTTACCACACCAAATCCCTGTTCCTCATTCTGCTCCTTTGCTTATGTTATTCTTTTTTCCTAGATTCCTTTTCATTTCAACCAACTCCACATGCAGTAAATCTCCTCTTCTCTCCTATATTATTTCATGTAGCATTCTTGACACATTTAGCCACTTTCCACCTTGTATAACTGCTCTAAGGGAAGGCTGCATAGCATGGCAGAAACCACTGTGGTATTTTGGGGATCAGCCAGACACCAGTTTTATATATAATCTCAGTGTCTTATTAGCTAAGTGGTCTTTGGCACTTCTTTTTAACCTGGATGAGCCTTGATTTTCTTATCTTTAAAATGGAGAGAAACTTTTATATAAGATTCTTCAACACTCTGCTTGGCACACAGACACTAATACATATGAATCCTATTTTCAACAGAATTTAATTCTAGATTTGCTTTCCAAGGAGGTACATGCCACCTCCAAATATTGGAGAAAAATGACTTACTTCATTCAATGTTAAGACAATAAAGAAATAGGTATACAGGACACACAGTTCCTGGCACAGAATAACCCTAGCAAATGGTAGATCTATTATTGTTATTGTTTAAGAGTATAAATTTCACTAAGAAATGGCTTGTTTACCATTCTCCTTTGAATTTCTGCCAGTATTTAGGAATGTCTAGCAGTGTTCAGTTGATCCTCAACTATTATTTGTAGACTGTGTACTTCCATATTGCTGGGACCAGGTTTGTGAAGAAATTATAGGGGCCATGTTGTAGGTCTTATTTCTAAATAAATAAGCACTTGTAAATTTGGCACCCACTTCAACAACAACAAAAATAAAAATATGCATAGTAAAGCATAGGAAAAAACATTTTTTAAAAAATTCTCTTTTTAAAAAAATGTGATTTAAACACACACACACACACACTTTGCTTCTTGACCTTTTGGCTAAGATCAAGTGTAGTATCTGTATTTAATATCTGATACAGCCTCTATTTGAGGACAACATATTAAATGGACTTTGGGAGCAGGGAGATAGAATAGGAACTGGTCCATTCTCTCTAAGCATAGGATTGGTGTTGCGGGACCTTCAGAAATGATGCACACCCTCAGGGGACTTAAAACATAAGTAAATAGGTAAACAAAAAGAGGACACATAAAATTTACCATAATACCCGTTTGCAAGTGATTAGTCCAGTATTGTTCCGTATATTCACATTGTTGTGAATATAGTTCTACCATTCTCTCCATCTTGCAAATCTGAAACCATATACCCATTAAACCACAATTCCCTTCTTCATTTTCCCCCAGCACTTGGCCACCACCATTCTGTTTTTTGTTCCTAAGAAGAAAACATTTTTTAAAGGAAACAAAAGAGGAGCATTCTATTATGAATACTTTATCCATTAATTATCATAGGAAGTGGGGGGAAAAAAAGGAGAGATGTCCCTAGCAAAGGCAGCCGGTCACATGCTGAGTGAATGAGACTGAAACTTGGAGAAACTTGACTCTTGGCTGGAAATCCAGGGATGAATATCAAGCCCATCTAGGAAGCAAGAGGTGGAGTAGTGCGGCAAGGCCAGAGTCAGTTTCTGGATATTAGAGAAAGGCCAAGAACTGAATTAGGGGAGATACCAGAACCACATTCTCAGGGCAAACATAAGACACCAACAAGAAGACAGGAAGAAAAGGAGAAAAGAGATAAAGCGAGGGGCAATAAACTTTAAGTCCTTAGGGTGGGTCTCATTGTCAGGGCATCTTTTAAAGAACCTGTCATGAGCCTCGTGGGCCATGCTGCCAAGAGCCTATGGCTTACGCCCCAGGTTGGCTGAAGGAGGAACCCTTCCCACTTCTCCCTTGATGGCTTGGTGCTTATAAGAACTGAGGGTCAGAAATCTTTTCACCTGATTTCACCAGTATAAATGTATTTCTTTGGAGGAGTGAAAGAGAAGTATTGAAAAACATGAAACCAAACAGGATTTGTCTAGGTCCCACCCACTTTTAGATGGGCCTGCTGGGAAAAGAAGGTGCTTAAGGAAAAAAAAAGGAAACCCAAAATCCTCTAAAATGAAAATCATGAGCCCTAGATTGTTTTCCAGTTCCACCCAGTCTTTTTATATATGACCTTTGGCTGGTCCAATCTACCGGCCTTTGTTTCCCCTTAGGATCAATTTCCTTGTAATTTTTAAGGACTTTATATATCAAGCTGATTCATTGAATGAAACCAGATATTTTCTTATTCTTGTATGGTGACGATGTTAGTGTTTTAATTTTTTGAAATTGTTCCATGATCTTTTTTTAATATTTATTTTTTAGTTATAGGTGGACACATATCTTTCTTTTATTTCTATGTGGTGCTGAGGATAGAGCCCAGTGCCTCACACGTGCTAGGCGAGCACTCTACCTCTGATCCACAACCCCAGCCCCATGTTCCACAATCATTTTTAAAAAGTTAACACTCAATGGTGCTTGTATCTTCAAACTAAGGACAATCCAAAAAACAACACAAAATGAACTTTATTAAATCATTTAGCTACTGTAAATAAATCAATCTCTGGACTATGAAATACAGAAGTGGCAAATTTCCTCCTTTGGGAAGTCCATGTGGGCTGAGGGGACTGGAGAGACCTAGAACAGGTGACAGGCTCAGGCAGATAGATGAGAAAGGCACCATTCATTCTGCAGTAAGGGAGCATTTGAAATACAGTGACAAACAGACACTCACAGTCCTTTTGTTCTTGTATAATGAGGGATAACAAAGCTTATATTTTAATCTGAAATAAAGTCTTAAAAATGATCCCCAAATGAAACAAGATGGTGACACCCCATGAAAAGTTATAGGAAGGTAATAAACAACAACAGTGAGACCCAATGAGAGAAAAGAAATGTCTCAGAATGGAGAATCAAGGTCTATGTAATGAGCAAATGAGGACATGATTTATTAGATGTCTTTGCCAGCTTCTGCTTTTATGTGTAGTCTCCAGTAAGGTGCTCAAGTGGTACAGAGGAGAGGGATCGAATCTAGCCACCTTGACCCCTCTTCTTCCCATCTTGCCTGAAGTCCCCACTTTAGTTTTCTATTCCTGCTGTAACAAATCACTGCAGATTAATGAGCTTACAACAATATGAATTTATCACTTTACTCTTTCAGAATTCGAATGCAGGTCTCACTGGGATAAAATCAAAGTGCCACCATAGCTATATCCTTTCTGAGGCTCTTGGGAAGAATTCATTTCCTTTCCTGTTCCAGCTTCCGGAGATGGACCTTCTCTGGCTCCTGGCTCCCTTTCTCCATCTTCAAGAACAGTGAGGTAGCGCCTCCTTGACTCTACTTACTAATTGCATCTCTTTTTCTGATCACAGCTGAGAAAATTTCTTCATTTTTAAGTTAATGATTAGATTGGATACAGTCGCATAATCTGGGGCTACTCTCCCCATCTCAAAATCACGTCTGCAAAATCACTTTTGCATGTAAGGTGACATAGTTACTGGGGATTAGGACATGACCATCTTTAAGGGCCACTTTTCTGCCTGCACGTAGACGTCATGAGAGCTTTGGGGTTCCTCATGGAAGAATTAAAGCCTATCATGCCCGACAAACTTTCATTCCCTCAGCTGTTCACTGGAGGAACTTTGGAGAAAGTAGTGAAAGGAATTAATTCTCAGTAAAGTTGTAATGGCTGACACAGTCTAGAATCTCTTCTGGTCTTAGATTATAAAATTTAACCAAAAAGAAAACTTTAATGACTTGGATTTCTGACTGTATTCATATCTCCTCCTCCTCCTCCTCCTCCTCCTCCTCCTCCTCCTCCTCCTCCTCCTCACCGGGGATTGAACTCAGGGGTACTCAACCACTGAACCACATCCCCAGCCCTTTTTTTGTATTTTATTTAGAGGCAGGGTCTCACTGAGTGGCTTAGTGCTTCACATTTGCTGAGGCTGGCTTGGAATTAGCAATCCTCCTGTCTCAGCCTCCTTAGCCACTGGGATTACAGGCATGCACCACCATGCCCGACCTAGTATTTACTTCTTGATTTCAATCAGACTGTTATCTTTTGAGTAATTTCATAATGGCATGGAGGAGAGAGAAGATACAATTTAGAGTCTTTCTTCTGCTACAGGGAAGAGGGGTGAGGCGGGGGAGCCTGAAGGACTTTACTTTGCCTCCCTTAGCCAGTCCATTTTGTTTGGAGCTGAGATGCAAGTCACTTTTGTGGGGCTCTTGCCTTAACATCTAAATAAAGTCTTAAAGTCTATTCTCTCTACAATAGAGAAACTATGAATGAAATGAAAATACCCATTTTGACATTGCCTGATGGTAGGTTTCTTAACATTACAAACGCTCTGATTTTTGATTATTCACCCTATAGAAGCAAGAACATCTGGCTCTCTCTGTTAAGAAACTCAAAGCAATATCAATTCCTTATTGCCGCAGTCTGGCTGGGCACAAAATAACCGAGCCGCCATGAGGCACTTGTAGGTTCAAACAGGAACTCCTTTATTGCCCGAACCCCACCGGCACTCCACCCGCACTCCCAGGAACTCTCCCAGCTCCCCACCGGGCTCCATGCGAACTCAAAAGTAGTGGGCACCCGAGGCAGCAGGAGCGCCCTATTGCTGACCTGCCCTATTGCTGGAGCCGCCCTATTGCCAGACAGCAAGGGTCTGAATACACAGCCTGTTCCAATCCAGCATCATCCAGTCACAGCAATTATACACAGCTTAACTTAATTATCATCATCTTAGTGGCTCGCTGGCATCACCTCTCAACCACTTCTGGCAAAATGCCATGTGCCATCCCGACTTGGCTGTGGCTCTCAACACCTTATCTTTTCCCCAATTCCATTTTCCAGACCACTTCTACCCACCTCCACATCAGAAGCTGTCTATAGCCCATTTCAGCACCTAACACTGGACTTGGCTTATGGTGTGTGTGCAACAAGGACTGTTGAATAAATGAAAGATTTATTGTTTGGGTGGCTGAGCTGTGATTACTTGGTAGCAGCAGCTACCATTTATTGAGCCCCTACTCACTCTACTAGGTCAGTTATCACACATTTTCTAGGTCTCCTGATTTATCTCTTTCAGCTTCCCAACAATTGATAAGGTTGGTATTGTTGACTCTATATTAAGACCAGAAACTTTTAGAAACTTGCCTATCCTTACAAAACTCAAGGAAGAGAGGAAGAATTCAAAGTGAGATGTGTCTCACACCTAAGCCCAGGGTTCCTTACATTCTACTCTTCCTTCTAATCTTCCTGGTCCAGAGAGAAACCAGGATTTGCTCGAGGTAACAAACCCATAGTCTCAAGACTATAATGGTGGAGTGGAGAGCAGAAAGCTAAAGGCCAGGAATAGTCCAGGGCATAATCATAGACAAGGGTGGTTGTGGAATACACCACGTCATGCTCTCTAAGTTACTACCTTAACCATGAAGCAACAATGAGTAGTATACAAAAAGAGCAAGAGGAAGGCTTTTGTCTGTTTGGATTAGTCTCTTTATGGATATTCATTTTTGCTCATGTGCATGATTGTTGGAATAACCGTGTCTGGGTTGGCCTTTTAGAGATCATGCATTGTCACCTGCCCCAGCCACCTCAACTCTGGTTAAATACAATTCAGATTTTTTAAAGCCTAACTCTAACAGAAAATATAACCCAAATCTGGGGGTTCCTGGGATACCTACTTTGAAATTCCTTCTGAAATTTCTTTTTCTTTTTTTTTTTATATATATATCAGGGATTGAACTCAGGAGCACTCAACCACTGAGCCACACACCCCCCAGCCCTTTTTTGTATTTTTTGTTTAGAGACAGGGTCTTGCCAAATTGCTTAGGGCCTTATTAAATTGCTGGCTTTGAACTCGCGATCCTCCTGCCTCAGCTTCCCAAGCTGCTGGGATTACAGGCATGCCCACTGTGCCTGGCTGAAATACCAGTTTTGAAAAAAAATTTCTGGACTCCTGCCTTGCTGGTGCTCCCTGCATGTGTTAACAGCAGTGGTGAGCTTGGCTCTTAAGTTCCTGTGTCTTTAGATACCTAGAAGGAAGCTGGGAGAAAGCTGATCAGTCAAGCCGACCCAGAGACCTCGTGAGCTCGCTTGGAGCTGCTT